ATGCAAATTTGACCCCGTGACAAGTGGTATCAAAGCGAAAGTTCGTTCTATTGGCTGGGATTTTGAGGTCTAATGTCGTTTGGGATGGAGATTATACGAGAAAAACTCACTCATCTTGAAGATGAGTTAGAATCCACGATGCTTTGAGTGTCGATGAATAGGATATCAACGAGTAAACACCTCGTGTGTCACGGTCCTAGGCACGGGGTTGCGCCAAGGATGCGAACGGCGGGTCCATGTTCGGCACGACTCCGGACTTGGATAGAGGGTTGTCCAAGTTGCGTAGGAACGCGAGCGGTCGAGAGAGAGGGCTCGGTCGGGTGCCCAAAGAGCTCGTGGGGTGGCGGGCCAAAGGAAGTTCTAGAAGGAGCGATTATCGAGGCGGTTATCGGCGGTTACTTGCCTCTAGCCAATCTGTCCGGATTCATGGGGATAAGTTAGATAGCAGTTCCTATGTAACTTTCAATGATCCTTTGTGATAAAAAGGAGAGGGAGATGTACTTTACGGAGACATAGAGAGACACCGAAATCAAAGTGTATTCCTTTGTTATCGGGTTAATAAAAGGTTGAGAGTTTTCTTGTAATATTGTGTGCAAACTTTGATTTATTCTTGTCTATTGTAGCGTGTTGCCTATTATTTGCAGGACTTCGGGAAAGCCTCTTGGGTGTGTGAAACACCATAGTCGATAGAGCCAAACATGAGAGCAAATTGGGAGGAAAAAGGTCGAAGTCTAAGGGAACTAGGCTGCCATGCACTGGGTTAAAATTGTGATGCAAATTTGACCTCGTGACAAGTGGTATCAAAGCGAAAGTTCGTTCTATTGGTCGGGATTTTGAGGTCTAATGTCGTTTGGGATGGAGATTATACGAGAAAGACTCACTCATCTTGAAGAAGTCTTGGGTCCCGTGGCCGAAAACGAAGAGGGTTCCATGAACGAAAGGCTTAAGCGCACCGAGGAAATGGCGAAAGGGTTCTTCGGGTAGTCGATGGATCTTGCGGCGGAGATGGGTCGCAAAGTACGAGCTCTCGAGGAAGAGATTGCGGTGCGAAAATGGCGGTGGTGGTTATCCTTACGGATGGGGCACATCTAAGCCGAAGGTACCGGATCCTAAGCCATTCGAGGGAGCGAGGAGTTCCAAGGAATTGGAAAACTTTACGTGGGATATGGAACGGTATTTCGAGTGGTCAAGATTAGGGACGACAAACAAGTGAACATCATTGTAATGTATTTGACGGGTGATGCAAAACTATGATGGAGGACCGGAATTAAGGAAGACTTGAATGTTGGGCGACCTATAATTGATACTTAGGTGCGTCTCGAGAAAAGTTAAAGGAACAATTCCTATCGAATAACACTTCCGGCTTGCGAGAGAAGATGCGAAAAGGTTGAGGCGGGATAAATCGGTGAGGGAATATGTGAAAGAATTTAGTTCTCTTATTATGGATATCGAAAACATGTCCGAAGAGGATAAATTGTTCAACTTTATGTCGAGCTTGCGGCCACAGGCACGAAACGAGTTGAGGCGACGAAGGTGAGCGATTTGTCTTTAGCAATCTCCGTCGCGAATGGGTTGGTAGATTTTAAGACGGGGACAAAAGATAGGTCTATTGCGGCGGCCACTTTGAAATCCAAGGCAAAGGGTAAGAGGGAATTTCCACGGAGGAAGAAATTCGATAGGGGTGGATTCAAGCTCGCCTATAATAAAAGTAAGGGCAAGCGAGGTTGATGCGTCAACGATAGAATCTAGAGCTGAATATAGGTACATTTCATATGTGGGGGATCTCATTATGCTCGAGAATGTCCGAAAAGAGAGAAGTTGAATGCCATTACGGTTAATGACAATGAGCAAGATGAAATAGTCACACACGTTAACCCAATGCGTGTGTTGAATTGTACGATTATGAAAGAGGATTCGGTGAATGAATTCAACCTTGTCAACAACGACTTGGTGCGGCTGGATGCCTTACGACAAGGGAAGTTGCGTGCTTTGGACACATTGATGTATGTTAAAATCAAAGTGAATGATCGGGAAATCATGACCATGTTGGATTCGATGCTACGAACACTTTTGTTGCTTGATAGATTGATGACGCAATTGGGTCACGTGGGTGAGCAATAACCACACAACAATGAAGACGAGTGAATGCTAAGGCACGGCGGATCAAGAGAAATGCGTACGAGGTGCCTATAGTCTTGGATAAATGGTCAGGCGGACAAGACTTGCTTGGTGGTGACTCTTGACGATTTTGACGTCACACTTGGCCTAGACTTCTTGAAGAAGGCCAAGATAGGATCGACGTCGTATCCGGGGAATTTTGATTGCCCGTGATACATGCCCGGTTTTGTGTTGTGTGAGAAAACTTCGGTAGCTGAAAACGACAAGGGCGGCGGTAGCATTATTTCGGCCATCGTAATTAATAAGGCTTTGAAGAAGGGTGGTGAAGTGGTTTTGGCGATAGCAGTGGGGGAGGATTCGGGACCAATGGATTGAGTGTCGGATGTCATTACTAGTTTGTTGGAGGAATTCTCGGATGTAATGCCTCCCGAGTTGCCGAAAAAGCTTCCACCGAGAAAGGCCATTGACCACGGAATAGAACTTGTGCCTAGTGCGACAAGACTTGTCGCGACCTCCTTATCGAATGTCTCCAAAGGATTTAGGAGAATTGAGAAGACAGATTGAAAGAGTTAATAGGCGCCGGGTTTATTCGGCCATCTAAAACTCCTTATGGTGCTCTCGTTCGTTCCAAAAGAAGGCGGATGAAAGTCTTCGGATGTGTATGGATTATCGTGCATCGAACAAGGTGACAATAAAGAATAAATATCCCGTACCGCTAGTGCAAGATTTGATGGATAAGTTATGTGGAGTCGATGTCTTCACGAAGGTAGATTTGAGGTCCGGTTATTAGCAAGTGAGAATTACCGAGGGGATGAGCACAAGACGACTTGTGTGACGAGGTATGGTTCATACGAGTTTACGGTTATGCCATTTGACCTAACAAATGCTCCAGCTATATTTTGTAACTTGATGAATGATATGCTTATATGAGTTCCTAGATAATTATGTAGTAGTCTATCTGGATGATATTGTGGTTTACGGTAGGAACTTAAATGACCATGTAGTGCATTTGTTGAATGTTTTAAAGAAACTTAAGGAACATCGGCTATTTGTAAAGAGGGAAAAGTGTGAATTTGCATGTGCTGAGATTATGTTCCTAGTGTCACTTGGTCGGTGAGGGTCGAGTGAGGATGGATCCAAGGAAGGTACAAGCTATCCTAGAGTGGGAGGCCCCTACATCGGTGTACGGGTTGCGGTCTTTTTGGGGTTGGAAAACTACTATCGTCGGTTTATTGAGGGATATAGCAAAGTGGCAACTCCTCCGTCCGATTTGTTAAAGAAGGACGGAAGGTGGAATTGGGTCGACGAGTGCCAACGAGCATTCGACAAGCCGAAGAGAGTTGTTACTTCGGCCCAGGTGTTGAGACCGCTCGACTTTGAGAGGCCTTTCGAAGTGCATACCGATGCTTCGGATAGGGCCATTTAGGGAGTGCTTGGTACGGGAGGGTCATCCGATTGCATTTGAAAGTCGAAAGGCTGAATGAGGCGAACGAGAGATATTCGACACATGAAAAAGAAAGGACAAGCTGTAGTCCATTGCTTGGGTGTGTGGCAAGTGTATCCGTTGGGGTCGAGATTCATAGTGAAGACGAGATAATGTGGCCAACACTTTCTTTAAGACACGGAAAAAGCTATCTCGGAGGCAAGCTCGGTGGCAAGAGTTTCTAGCCGAGTATGACTTTGTGTGGGAGCACAAGCCGGGACGACATAATCAAGTTGTAGATGCACTAAGCGGGCGTGAGGTGCTTGCTACCCTTTTTCCCTTGTACGAGTGGAGTCGGACATGGTTGAACGACTTCATCGAGTGCGCAAGGAGGATGAATCGTACAAGAAGTTGGTTGGTCTTGTACGAGAAGGGATAGTGCGAGAGATATTGGCTGGACAATGATCTCCTATATGCGAAAGGGGGTCGAATCTTTGTGCCAAAGGGAAGGCTGTAAAAATTCTTTATGTCGAAACACATGATCCGCGAGTGGTCGGACATCCGGGAAGGGGGAGGATGCTGGCTTTGTTGTCCCACACTTATTATTAGCCAAAGATGGATGAGGATGTGGAGCTATTTGTGAAGACTTGTCTAGTGTGTCGGCAAGACAAGACTTCACGGCAACGTGAGGTGGGGTTGCTTCGGCCGTTGCCGATTCCGGAGAAACCTTGGGTGTCGGTTTCGATGGATTTTATCATGGGTTTTCCAAAGGTAAACAACATGAATGCGGTAATGGTGGTCATGGATAGATTCACCAAATATGCGGTATTTATTCGTTGCTCCTTTAATTTGCACAACGGATGTAGGCTGTCGGGATGTTCTACCAAAATGTGGTGAAGTACTTTGGGGTGCCATCGGACATAATCGGCAATCATGATGCACGTTTCACGGGTCGATTATAGATAACCTTGTTTAACATGATGAGGACGCGATTGAAGTTCTCCACTGTTAATCATCCACAAGCTGATTGGCAAACGAAGAGGGTTAATGCCTTGTTAGAGGAGTACCTACGGCATGATGTGATAGCAACACAACGAAATTGGCTAGAGTTGCTTGGATAGTGCTCGGTTTGCTACAACCTCCACAAGTCATCTGCGACGAGAGGCAAGTCCATTTGAGTTGGTGCTAGGGATGCGACCCCAAACTCCCTAGAGATCTTGGTACGAAATGCGGTAGGAAAAGTCCAGCGACATATCAATTTGCGTTGGAGAGGCGGGGAGTTGTTGGCTCGAGCGCAAGATAGCTTGCGGAAGGCCAGCAAGCGAGTGAAGAAGTATGCTTGACTTGAAAAGGAGACCACTTAGAGTTTGATGTGGGCGACGAGGTGTGCTCAAATTGACACCTCAAATTTGGAAGAAAATCAGCGACGGATTGGTGCGGCGGGGGCTTATTCTAAAATATGAGGGACCTTTCAAAATTAGAGAAAAGGTGGGAGGCTGTGGCTTATAAGTTCGGTTTTGCTCGAACACTCGAAGCTCCACCTTACATTTCATGTGAGCTATTTGAAGCCTTACTATGAAGACCGAGAGGACTCGGAAAGAAACAAGTCAAAAAGAGCTCCCCTAGTGGTTCGGAAACAGATTGACGATGGGATTGTCAAGATTCCGGATCATCGTCGACTTGGTCGGCACGAGAAGAATCGAGGAATAGAGTTTTTAGTAAATGGGCTAAGATTATGGAGGTTTCGTGGGAGAAGGACACTAACTTGTGGCAATTTGAAGAGAAGGTGCGGGACTACCTCACTTCAATTCCGACGAGGGCATCGGACCTTTACGGTAGGGGTGGTTTGTCACGGTCCTAGGCGCGGGTGTTGCGCCAGCTATAGGCGCGGGGTTGCGCCGAGGATGCGAATAGCGGGTCCATGTTCGGCACGACTCCGGACTTGGATAGAGGGGCGTCCAAGTTGCGTGGGAACGCGACGAGCCGAGAGAGAGGGCTCGGTCGGGTGCCTAAAGGGTACGTGGGGTGGCGAGGCCAAAGGAAGTTTTAGAAGGAGCGAGTTATCGAGGCGGTTATCGACGGTTACTTGCCTCTAGCCAATCTGTCCGGATTCATAGGGATAAGTTAGATAGCGGTTCTATGTAACTTCCGATGATCCTTTGTGATAAAAAGGAGAGGGAGATGTGCTTTACGGAGACATAGAGAGACACCGAAATCAAAGTGTATTCCTTTGTTATCGGGTTAATAAAAGGTTGGGAGTTTTCCTATAATATTATGCGCAAACTTTGATTTATTCTTGTCTATTGTAGCGTGTTGCCTATTATTTGCAAGACTTTGGGGAAAGCCTCTTGGGTGTGTGAAACACCATAGTCGATAGGCCAAACACGAGAGCAAATTGGGAGGAAAAAGGCTGAAGTCTAGGGGAACTAGGCTGCCGCATGCCGGGTTAAAATTGTGACGCAAATTTGACCACAGGACACCGTGTGTTTTAGTTTTCTTTGTAGTTATATCTAAGATTCTATGTATCAAATTTAACAAAATCATTTTAAAATTTTATAATATTTTAATTAAAAAATTTTATTTAATTAATTTTTTAAATGTTTTTCATAAATTTTTTACTTCAATAATAATAACAACGATTTATTTTTCTTTATGAATTGATTTTAAATTATTAACTTATAATAATTTTAATTAAAATATTAATCAAGAATTAAAAATATATTTTTAATAATATTGTATTTCAAAAAATAAAGTTATAATTAATGGACAAGCTTTTATAAAAATTAACAAATAAAAAAATTTTATTTAATGTTAATCGGAAAATTAATTTTTGAAATTATCCGTGCAATGCTTTGCGAGTAGATAAAGCAAAATCATTTCAAAATTTTATAACTTTTTTATTAATTTTTTTATTTAATTATTATTTTTTTGTATTTTTCATAAAATTTTTGCTTGAAAAACATGATTTATGCTTCTTTATTCATGGATAAACATGATTTATTCTTCTTTATTCATGGATTCTTAAATAAAAACTTGTAATAATTTGAACTTAAAATATTAATTAAGAATTTAAAAAATATTTAAAATTATAATTTTTTTTAAAATAAGAATGTATCAAAAAAATAAAGTTACAAGTAATGTATAGAATTGCATAAAAATTAACTAGTGAAAAAATAAAATTCTATTCTTATTTAATGTTGGTGAGAAGATTATTTTTTTAAAGTATATGCATTTGATCTATACATATTTATTTACAAAATAATCAATATTATTAGCATAAAAAACTATATTTGAATTATTGGTTGGTTCCTTTAAAAAATTATTTTAATTATTTTATTTGAAATAAATTGGTTCTATAATGTTAAAAAATATTCATAGTAAATAATTTGTATTATGTTGGAAGATCCATAGTTAATTTTTAATAAAAATAATTATTCAATAGGTTTTTTTTATACGTTTTGACCATATCCGGTGAATTAAGATAAATTATCCGAAATACATTTTTAACCTTTTGAAATAAAATAGTTACACACACACACACACACACACACACACACACACAAACTATCATTTAAAAATTCTAAGAATTAATTTTATATATTATACCAATTTATTTCTTAAAAAAACAATAATGTTTTAAAATTTTATTCTAAAATTTAAACATAGAAAAAAATAAATTATATTTATCGGTAAATAAAATTTTACATAAAAAAATATAAATTTAAATAATAAAGTACCATAAGTTGAAGTATATATTAATTTTAAAATATAAAAAGATAATATATATATATATATATTGGTGTGTGCGAACACACATGTTGTGTGAAAAAAAAATAAAAGTTAAAAATTTAAAAAATAAGTTACAACACACGGGATTGAAGTAGAAAAGGTGTTAAATTTGTATATAAATGCTTAAAAACACACAAAAGAAAACGAAAAAAAACTACAAATAAAAATTATTTAAAATTTCATAAACAGAATAGTAATATTAAATATATGAGCAGTTTATGAATAATAATTACTATTCAAGAAAATCATGTCTTTGAGTTTCTTATAATAATAAATAGATCATTACAATTTATCTGCCGTATCCATATTAGGACTTTGAAGATGGACGTTTGGCTTCTTTTACTAATAAATAGATCATCATGATTTCCCTGCCGTATCCATATCAGGACGTTGAAGATGGTCGTTTGAGAGAAATTAATGTCAGTCTAGATTAAGCATCGTCACTAAGGTTGATTAGTAGGCCTCAAGTTAGGCAGCCGCCATGGAAGAAACGACGATAATACAAAAATGAAATAAAAAATTTCCCAAACAGAATAAGAATTTCAACAAAAAGACAAAATTTGGAAAATTTACCGATGAGAAAGAATTTACAAGGATGCAACTACCAACATGACGAAACAAAAAGACAAAAGTAAAAGAAAAATGAAAGTTAAAAATTAAAAAAAAAAGTTACAATACGTGAAATTGAAGTAGAAAAAATAATAAATTTATATATTAATACCTAAAAACACATTAAAAATCATAACAAAAACTATTTACAAAAACTACTTAAATTATCATCAAATAAATAATAGTTTTAGATATTATGAACAACAATTACCGTTCAAAAATCTATGTCTTTTTTAATTTCTTTTAATAATAAATAAATCATTAAAATTTGTCTGCCATGTCCATACTACAGACTTTGAAGATGGACGTCTGACGGAAATTAATGACGTCAGCCTAGAGGGTTGGACCTACATCAGCATCATTGTAGGCCTCAAGTTAGGCAGCCGTTCATGGAAGAAACGAAGTTAATATAAAAATGAAAAAAGCAAAATTCGCTAACAGAATAAGAATTTCTAAAAGACAAAATTTAGAAATGAGAAAGAATGTGCAAGGATGCAACTACCATTAGCTTCTTGACACGTAAACACAGCATAAAAGAAATAACCCAGCTTGAATTATTATTATCATTTTTTCCCCAATTTGAAGAATATTCCGTCACAGTAAGGGGGAACTAATAAAGAGGAATAAGTTATAGATTAGTCTCTCTCTCTCTCTCGTTAAAAAAACAAATTAGTTAATCTAATTTTAGTCTAATTTTTTAAAAATAATTATTTAATTTTTATATTTTAATTTTGTCAATAATTGAATTTTTTATTAGATTAATAATTTTTTTCTCGAATCATCAGTTTTGAATTAGAATAATAATTTTTGTTCTAAAATGATATATTTTTTTATTTATTTCTAGTTGAAAAAGGAAGAAGAAAAGGATGGTTGAAAGAGAGACATTAAAAAATGGATAATTTGAATTTTTTTATTAATTTAAAGAAAAATTATAAAAAATTAAGTTATTCATAAAATTAACATTTAAGAGATTAAATAATTATTTTTAAAATAAAAGAGATTATGTTATAAAAGAAATAAAAATAATAGGAGAATTGAAGAGAACAATAATGAAAAAATGATTTTACTATAAAAAAAATATAAGATATAACAACTTTAAATAATTTTCACAATCTCTATAAAATATTTATATACCAACTAATGAATAATTAAGTCTATTTATAAGTTTTAAATTTAAAAAAGAATTAGAATAAATTATAAATAATCGATTACATTATGAATCATATTAAAATTATTTATAATAAAAATATAAAAAATAGATGAACATGAGGATAGTTGTTCATTATTTCAAAACAGATTAATTAATGTTTTTTTTAAACGAGAAAAAAAAAAAAAGAATAAAAGCATCGTTCGCTCTGCGGCTGCAATACGCTCCATGGGTGCTTAAATTCGGTTATTTCTCATCGTCAACGCTGAAAAGAAAACCCACTTCTCTTCTCTCTCTCACTATCAGTTTGGAAAAATGGAAAACCAGCCGACGATCATGATCACCAACGATGACGGTATTGACGCACCAGGACTGCGAGCGCTGATTGAGGTCTTGGTCTCTACCCGGCGCTTCCAGATCCTTGTTTGCGCTCCGGACTCGTACGTTCTCTCTATCTTTGAAATTATATAATCTTTATCTAATTGCTTGAATTGTAGCGGGAGGGAAGACATTTTTTGCTAGTGAAGCTTATTAAATGTAAACATTTTTTTTGTACGAATTGGTTGTGAATTTAGAATTAATTTTTTATTGAATTAATTTGAAGGGAGAAATCAGCTGTGAGCCATAGTATTACATGGCGTCATCCAGTTGCTGTTCGACGAGTGGATATTGAGGGAACAACTGCCTATGCAATTGCTGGTTTGCTTGCTTCCTTCTGCCATTCATAGAAAAACATTTGCATTCCCTTTTTTTCAATCTAATTTTAATTTTTGGTATCAATAATACTTGTTTTAAGATTACGTGCAAGAACTTAAAGAAATTTAAAATTTTTCCTTTTTTTTAATGTTATTTTGCAGGAACTCCAGCAGATTGTAGTTCTTTAGGAATCTCCAAAGCACTCTTTCCTTCAATACCTGATCTGGTAACTTTCTCCCTTAATTTTATTTAATTTTAGTTATAAAAAATGTTAATAATCTCGTTTTTCATTCTGAATAATAATGCATTTGGATTTGTATTGCAATGACAAATCAATAATTTGATCCCTCATAAATGTTTTATATCTTTTTTTTATTTCCTGGTTTATCAATAAAGTTGATTATGCATATTGGATTTCTGTATACAGGTAATTAGCGGCATAAACATGGGGAGCAACTGTGGTTATCACATGTTAGTATTAATTTTATATTTTGTTATTTTCTTTTTAAATAAATGTATAAACTACATCTTTGGATTATCTTGTCATTCATATATAGTTGGTCTTCTAATCTGCCTGTTTATGCAAAGACTTTTTTGTTGGGTTGCAGTGTTTACTCAGGAACAGTTGCTGGCGCTCGAGAGGCATTCTTTAATGATATACCTGCCATCTCCATATCATATGATTGGTATATTGACTTATTTTTTGTGCTACATGGCTAGATCGGTGACACTGTTATTGTTGCTTAATATAATACTACGTAGCATGTAGATAGCAATTTGTTTCTCCCATATAACTGCTTTTTTGGCTGTATAGGTTTGGAGGTCAGAGCAATGTTGAGAACTTCACACTTGCTGCTGAGGCTTGCATACCATTAATAACTGCAATATTAATTGAGATTAAGAATAAAACTTACCCTATAAAGTGTTTTTTGAATATCGATCTTCCAACGGATGTTGCTAATAATAAGGTAAATTGCTAAATTCGAGACCAGGTTCTCAGCATATCACATTTGCAGATGAAATTATGAAACATTTTGGTATTGTTGTTTCCCTTGGATGCATCTCCTAGATTGAGCTACCTTGGCGTGTCTGCCAGGGAAGGGGTCATATCATTTTAAAGGATTTTGTCCTGCTTTTCATCTGGTTTTGGCCTTCCATTATTGATATTCCTTCAATGTTTCAGCTGATTTAATTGCATGCATACACTTGGGTTCAGTGAAAGTACATCGCTCTAGTCTTTCATCTGAAATGTGTGTGAATGCCGCTTGAATGACTTAATTGCATGCACACACTTGGGTTTAGTGAAAGTACATTGCTCTAGTCTTTCATTTGAAATGTGTATGAATGCTGTTGAAATTGATATTAGCAGACAGTGAGAATCATACCTTTTAATTCAGTCTACCTTTTTTCCATTATTTGCCAAAGTAATCAGTGTTTTTATCTTTTCTTCTTCTTTTAATCTCATTTTAGAAACTGAATTTTTACCCCAGACAGGTTTAAGGTTATTGCCACATTGCATAAGGACGATAGGGTGTTGTATTTTGTATGTTCCCAGTATGTGTTTACTAACAACAATTTGATTTGCACGTGATTCCCTCTAATTTTGTGAATGAAACTGTAACATGTCTAAGTAGGGCAAGGGAGACACTGATTGGATAACTCATCATTTTAATTTTGTTCTTTATTGTTTTACTTTGTGAATTGGAGTTTAGGACTTGCATTTTATCTAGTTTTACCTTAGGATTACTAACGCTGCCATGCATCTAAATGGAGATTTGGATGTGATATTTTAATTGTTTTTTGTGCCTCCAAAAGGGGTATAAGCTGACCAAGCAGGGTAAAAGCCTATATAAAATGGGGTGGAGCCAAGTTACTTCTGGCATGCAAGGAGGAAAAATGTTATCAACAATGACAATGGATACAGATTCAACAGCACCAGTAGAGACTGATACATTAAATATATCACAAGACCATCTTTTGTTCAAGAGAGAAGTGAGTCCTTTTCCTTATTATCTCTCTACCCCTTCATTAAAAATCTTTTATTTGTGTTCCTAAGTTGATATCCATATAATGCCATGGATCTAAACACTTTAAGTATTCTATGTCTAATTTTGCTTCAAGAGTAGAAGGCAATAAACTTGATGTTGGGCTACTTTAAAAGAGTTAAAGATGGAAGGATATTGCTGTTCATAATCATTTGTTTTTCACATAAATGAATTTTTGCTTTTGGATTACAATTTCAAATTTAAATGTAAATGGTCTTCTCAATTCTTATAGGTATTGGGAGGGCAACTTGATGAAGGTGACTTTGATGATGTGGACTTCAAATTTCTTCGGCAAGGATATGTGGGTAACTTTGCTTCGCTTCTTCAAATCATATCTGAGTAGAGAAGCCCGTGATTAACACAATACTTTCATTTCATTTCAGATTACTGTAACTCCCCTTGGTGGCCTCTCCCATGCAGAAATAGGTTGCCACTCATATTTTAAAGCTTGGCTGCCAAGTGTTGAGGAATGCCCATCTTCATCATCCTTATAATCCTTCAAATCCATGCCTAGTCAGAAGACCACGGAACAAGCCATTTAAGTAAGGATGACAAGACAATGTTACTGGAAATTTACTTCCTTGTGTCATCACTAAACTTTGTACCTTTTCAATCTGCTTAAATAATTTGAAAACTTATTCTTTATGCTATACTGCATTGTAAGTTTGGAAGTTCCGTATACTTTCACCCTGACTTTGAGTATCCTCTGTTAATTGATAGGAAAAATTACTGAGTTTTTCTTTAGCAATAGGTTTATTGGTTTTCTTGAAGGACTAAATTGCATTTGGGCCTCTAACATTTAACATCTCCACTAATTTGGAAGTTTGAAAAATTAGTGTAGTATAAGCTATGGTAGTGGATCCTTTTTGTTATTTCTACCCCCAACTAATTTCTTTCTTTTGGTATAATTCATTTATAAACAATGCCTAATTTTTTAATATACAAGTATAAAAAGCAGTTTGTGTGCTCTTTCTGAATGTTCAAGAAAATCAAATGATCGCATAGCATCAAAAGCTATGTAGATAGGATGGCTGACCACTTGGTTGACATGATGGCAAAATCCGTCAATGTTTACAATTAAATTAGAACTTGAAATCTCAATGAATTTAGTTTAGATTAATTTCAAGAAGCTAGGATTTCTAACTTTCAGAACCATGTTTTCTTTTAAAATTTGAAGATAATTGCAAGATGGGTTTGACGAATGCGTGGTTACTAAGGAAAGGATTTGAGAGGTACTAAGCTTCTGAGGATTTAAGTATGGACTAACTGAATGTGAAGTCTTCTCTATTGATTTTGAGTACGAGGGAGAATGTGTTATTTCACATTAGAAAATCTCTGTTAATGAATCCACTTACAGGAGGTAAATTGTATACCATAAGACAAATTGGAGACAGTGCAATGGATAACGTTGATTATTTCTGTATTTTACACTTTACATTTGTTGTTTGGTATCCATCTGATTATCAGAGGTGAATTTATGCACTGTTTGAACTTCGAAGGAAATACACGTTGGTTTCCACTCTGATTTGATACCTTGTTTCAGACTAATTGTAACTTAATAAGAAATCCTATAGCATGACGTTTGCTTTAATAAACTCCTGTTAACCCATAATTTCTCCACCTTTTATTGCGAGTGTCATCCACTGCTCATCAGTTTATGCCATTGCATCTTGCGAGTTCTTCAGTGGTTAGACTAGATAATTACGCCGTGGGAACTGTCTGTGAAACGTGAATGTTTGTTTAAATTAGCAAAGGAGAATATCGAACATGGAAATTTAGGCATTTATAAACAGGTTGCACCATTCCAAATTCAAACTGTCAACAAGAAGGAGCAATTAGAGCACTCTAGTTCCCGTCTTATACATACTTCTCTTCCTGCTTATTTCTCAGTTTATTCTATTAGTGCTTCAAGCATTAGGATCTGAAGATTTCCAGAATATATACATATATTTTTTTTATAATTCACCAACTGGTACATAAAACTTTTTTTTTTTTACTGGAAGTGCATTCTCAGGATAACATATTCAAGTTGAATAAACTTGGGAACTTGTTTTCTCTGACAGCTATTTTTCAGTTAGGGTTATTTTGAAGGGGGATTCTTTATATTAGAGGGGCGACTGTATATAAACATTAAGATTGATTTGTGGGACCAATAGTATTTTAAAGAATAATTATGCTTTGGGCCTTCAAATTGTCTGCATATTGGATATGTTGTTGGCAGCAATTTGTGCTATAACCTGAAATGGACTTATCTTGGGGAAAGAATTTGGTGTTTAGCCAAGAAATCTGCTAGCTATTTTGACATGGCTAAGAAAGTCCACTTCTAATTTGTCTAGTGACGTAGTCTGTAGATTCATCTTATCGGGTCCAAAGGTTATGTAGTGCATGCCTTCTGAATTCGATGTTATAAATTTCCATAATCGATCCTTTCCCTTGATCACTGAATTCCTTCGTTTAATATTATTTGCAAGAGATTCATTTTATTTAGCATCGCTTCTAATACTTTTGCTGCTCCCAGTTGACTGAAAAGTGCTAATTCTTGCAGAGCTGTTGCTTTTCAGCTGATCAAAAGGGATTTGCAACTACAAATGCAGACGAAATGATTCTCTGGGCTCCTTGCTACATGATGCAATTTTTCACCTACCTCCAAGCTTGCCAGGTTTCATCTGTAATTGCATTCTTTTCCAATTAAGAGTGTCATAAATGCTTTGAAAACTTTATTTAGCAAGTCTCACACATACAGTTTGTTTCAAACCCATTGGTCAATATGATAATAACTTGCGTATTTGCTTCTAGTTATTATGAGACTTTATACAGATTTGATGCTCTCTCTTTTTGTTGTGTAACATCAGGCATAACGTTGCCTGTATTTTCCCGTTTCAGTTAGATGCTATATGTTTATGACTAGGAAATTTAGTTGACCAAAGTCCAAACTACGCTACATTATGGTGCTTTTAATGTACTGGCCAAAACTTTCTGAAACAACATTTTAAGGAATAAATGCCTAGAATCTACAAGTTTCAATTTGGGGACCACCAGAATGGCTTGGAATTGTTTTTAAATGCTTGGCATATTTTCTAGATATTAGAAACTTGTGCTTTCCTGAAGAGATATGGAAATGGATTAAAGATGGCATAAAATTCAGTTAAACTGTATCATCGCAACTCTTGAAAGAACATGAAGATGTTCGCCGATGGCAACGTTCCGAGCAAGTACATCTTTTTGTGCTGATGATACCCAAGTGGCTATAATGGTGTTATAATTACTAGTTTAATTGACACCTAAAAGAACACCTACTATGCTCACCAAAAAAAATCTAACATGTGACATGTTAGAACACTGAGGAATTCCCCCCTGGTGTCGCCTTGTCGACTTTCTTTCTTTGTTTGAATGAAGTACTAAGAAAATCGAAGATAAGTTTCAATTATTAGGTACTTACCCACACAACCGACCTTTCCTCCCTCCAAGGTTCAAATCTATTTTTTTAATATGAGAGGCAACTTTTGAATAAATTCCTATCATCTTGGTAGACAAAGATTGTTAATCTGTATTAACTTTTTAGTATATTCGAAGCCAAATGCTTACTATGTTATATTTAAAACATACTGCACCTTCGAATTTAAAAACTGCCATGTGCCACATGTAATCTAACTCAAATTAATATAAAGCAGTTTCCCCCACTATGCTGTCGATTTGTAAGACAAAAATTAATGAATCGAACACCGGTGGGATTGCGTGTGGCTAATAATATTTGTGGAAGAATTTATTAAAAACTTGAAAACCATGTCGGTTATCCCATCCATTCTATAGTTTTCCTTAGTCAACTTCAGGTTGATATAAAAAGAAGAAACAAACTGCTACACCCAACTGCTGAAACTGACAAAGCAACAATAACATAGCAAGTTGAAGAAAAATAGAGCCATCTTTCACCCAATGCTTTTTAATTTAATGTCATTCACGGTTTAAGGTTGTTCATATTTTTCAAATTAAGACTCTTTCAGGGTCGGTCTAAACCATATGCATCGAGTTTTTTTTACTTCGAAAAAAAAAGCGAGTAAAGATAACGAACACGAATTTTGTGGAAAAGCTATGTTCTAATATATAACTCAGATGACAAGAAACTCGATATTAAGCAAACTAGAAAACCAAAAATTCTTTCAAAAGATTATAAAACAAGATAAATATCTTATGTACACGAGCGGACTTCTCTTAGTTTTTTGGGAACTCTGTATGTGTGTAGGCCTTCATTGTTTTGATGGCAAGGCAGGGGCATGCGACTCCACTAGTATTGACCATAGCACATGCACATCTTCATATTGGCAGGATTTTACATCCTCATACAGAATGTATATCCCTCTTCCTGAAAAAAGAAAAAAGGAAACAAATTGCACTTAAGTAATTATAATCAAGGATGAAGTATAATGAAATGCAGCAAATTAAACAAATCTTTTGAGGAAGTCTTTAGTGGCAAGCTAGAAAGAAATTCGCAGAAGGAATTTTGTAGATAATTGAAAAGGAGATTGGTGTTGGATGGATGAATGATTTCTTGAACAATTTGGGCCTGGTTTTGAATTCAGATGGATTCATCAGAAAAGAAGGAAAATGAAAATGCCAGAAGAAAGATGAATGGATGGAACAACAGAATGTGTAATTCGAACACAGATTGGTCATGAAGAAAATCTGGTGCCAATGGTAGGGTGTTTTGTGGTCTATTTTCTAACAAGAAAAGAACATTAAGAAGATTAGAGAAACTAAAACCATGCAGAAACTAGCACCCAGAGAAGACAGTGAAAAATGCAGTGTAGGTTTGAAGAACATACTCTTCTTTGGAGTTGAGTGTAGACGAAACCACAGCTTCTTCAATGGAGAGAGGAGGGATTGCAGCCACCCCATTCGGAGAAGTGGGTGTGGCTCATGTACAGGTGAGAGAATGGGAGGGAAAAAAATAAGACAGAAGAACTGTGTGGTTTGCTTAGACAAGGGTGAACTTAAGGCCAATACTATTGCTAGCCAACGCACCTTTTTACACTCCCTTGCAGGCCAATCATGCATTTCACATTTTGCTCTTGGTGCAATGTCATTGTCAAACCCTTTTTCCCTTGTAGCAGAAGAAGCCACCACACCAATCAGCAGTGCTTAATACACTTTCCACAAACTCTCTTGATCTCTAATATGTGTGTGTGTGTGTGTACACACACACCCATATTTTCACTTACTTCCCTTATGCCTCAAGCCTCATTTGAAGTCTTTTCTATTGTTTAATTTATCGCACACACTCGTGTGGGGTTTCTTTGTGTTTCAAGTAAACACAAGCTTCTTTCAAGAGTATTCTGCAAGAATCTCTCCCCGTATCTCCACCTGTCCATTGGGTGCCTTTAAAGTGTTACTGTGTCTTAAAAGCATAACTTTCCTTTGGCTGACTGGAAAATGAGATTTGTAGGAGACGAGTTAACCAGAAATACTGAACTTCGTCCATGAAATTGATATTTTCAACACCTCATCAGTTAAATGTAGATAGAAGAGAAATGTGGAGAGTGAAAAACTGATCAATGCTGAAGCATCGATCTTAGCTGACGTTCTTGAAGTATGAGAGACAGTGATTGTAACTTGTAACAATAAAGACTCTCTTGCGTCTCTTTTTAGGTGGAATTAATGACTGGCTACATAATGGACAAATAAACTCTCCTAATTCTTCCAGTTATTGTAGTTTCATATATATATATATCTCAAATTCCAAGTGCAAAATTGGATTTCATATCCTTTCTTGATCTGCTTACAATTTCTTTAATAAAGAATTAGATTGTAAAGGCTATCAACAGTATTTTAGACATTTTCCCTCAATTATAGATAGAACAGCGCGTTGTACTCCCATTTTGTTAGCACACCATGACATTTCCCAATTTGTTCCTTGGGACAAATTCTCCAGTTCAATAAACTAATAGGAGCTGTCAATATCAATTTGTTCTTTCCTTTCAGATAGTAGAATAATGTTGCCATGTAGCCCAGGCCAGGTGAAGCCATCTTTGAGGCCTCGGCGTTTGATTTTAAGCTAAGCTCAGCTCAGTAAAAGTTGGGCAATGAAGTGTGGGCTAGCCAACAAAAGAGCTTTATCACTCATACCCTTTATCTGAACCACCGTGAAGTAGAAAATAATTACTGCTATTTGTTTGAAAATTGAATACAAAGGTAAATTATTCCACACTTGATCCAGGCAATGAAAAAGAGCATATGACCTGCTGAACCGCTAATTTTTTTCTTCCAATACATACGGTGCCGGTTTGCCCCAGCTGGAAGACTGCAGCGGGTGGGTAATATGGCCTATTGGTTTCTGTAACCAAGCAGATGCGGAATTAATGCTTTTCATGCTTTCCTATGCTATTTTTTTGGGATTTAAAAAATCTTTATATTATTTTTTATTTTAATATCATCCACATATATTATATTTTTGTTATCATCACATCTTTCTATAAATCCGTATTATTAATCCATTTTAAAATAACACGTGTCATATTCTTACAACATGGAATTTTTATTGATGTACATTTTGGGCCCTATTTTTGAAAAATGCTTTATTTTTGTATTTTATTTTTTGAAACAAAAAAGTCCTTAATCAGGTTTTTTAGTCATTGCATTTTACAGTAAATATAATTTAGCCCTTAATTTATTTTTTAATTAAGTTCCTACTGTCAAATTGTAAACTTGGTCAAAATTAATTAAACAATTTAAATGGGTTGATCGACAAGATAAGAGTTAAGTGAATTAAATAGGTATACCTGTTTAAAAAATAAAACTGTTTTTTCATATAATATTATTATGAGATTTTTTTAATTATATTTTGAAAAAAAAATTCTTGCTTTTAACCTAAAACAATTGAATATAAAAAATATAAAAAAAAGAAAACAAATTCACAATAGATATATGATATTATAGGAATGAATTCTTTCTCAAAATAATAACTTAGTTCTTGAACTTATTGATTATATTTATTTTATTGAATTAATTGATCATGGATATGTGTACTTTTTATAATTATTGTTGATATTATCGTGATTTTAGTATTTTTTGTTTCCTATAATATCATATATCTATTTTGAATATTTAGATGAAGTTTACGATTTGGCATGTAGGAACTTAATTAAAAATAATTAAAAAATAATAATTCAGTGACTAGATTGTATTTACTGAAAAATACATGACCATAAACTTTTAATTAAGAACTTTTTTTGTAAGAAATACACGGATCAAAGTAAATTTTTAAACAATTCAGAAACCAAAATGTACATTAACGAAACTTTCTGTTGTAGGAACAAGACATGCGTCAATGCTAGTGACACCAACGGACAGAAAAAAAAATGATGAGAACGAAAAAATATAACATTCATAGACGATATTAAGAAGGAAAAAAAAACAGAGAGAGAGAGGGACTTGTTATATAAAAACACAGATTTGTGCCAAAGCCCAGCAATTATTTTGAAGTAATGCAATTGATTTTGAAATATCCCTTCCAAATTAGTTTTTTAGAATAATTCTGAATAATGAATTGCAGTATTTAAAAAATTCATTCAGCATGGATATTTCGGAGGAATGACGTTAATTCTTTATTTCCAGACTTGATCTTTCGATTTCCAGCAAATTTATCTGGAATCAGCATGTAATTTTTGGGCAATTGTTTTGAATAATTTCCGAAACTCGTTTATGATCTCTTCTCTGGAAGCCATGCGGGCTGCTATTGTAGCGTTGATCACTGTAGCCCACGTCATTGTTCATTTGTTTGCCCTCTGCGTCAATATTTTGCAGCAATAAAAAAGAGGTTCATAGAATACATGCAAGGAGCTACGATACAAACATATGATAAAAGAGCCTTGAATGGTTTGCATTTCTGGCAACTGCATGCCCACGGACGAACTGCACAGTGATGGAATATGTGTAACCAGCAGGCAACAACAAATCCAAAAGAATCAATATCGCATAATGATGCAGGCGAAGAAGCACTTGACGCCATCAAACATGGCCCAATCATTTGGGCCCTGGATATTGCATTCTGCAGCGATTGCGATACGAGAATCAAACGGTGAGTCAATTGGGCAGATCTCAATGGATATATACAAGGCTTGGTTTAAAGATAATTCTGTACAGCTAGTTTCTCTTTAGTAAGGCAAAAAGTTCTTTTACCTGCATTACGAATTTAATAAAATATATAAAATTATTTTAAAAAAATCAGTTCAGTTTAATAATATGTTTTATAACGTAAATTTATAAAAATATATAAAATCAAAGATGAAAAAAATTATTTATAATTTTTTAATAAAAAATTTTGTATTTAACTATTTCTTATTTGTATTTTTCATAATTTTTCCTTTAAAAAAAAGATTTATCCTTTTCAATCCATGGATTACTAACTAAAAAGAAAATTAAATAATTTTTTTTAAAAAAACTGTAGTATTTCATAAGATTGTGTCAAAAAAAATAAATAACAACTATTAAAAGCTTACATAGAATAGAATAAATTATTTTTTTATTTAATGTTGATGAGAATATCGATTTTTGAAAAACAAATGTGAATTTAATTTTTATATATTTATTTACAAAAGAATGAATAGCATTAAAATAAAAAACTATATTAATTTGAATCATTTAGTGGTTAAGCCAAAACATAATTTTAATTATTTAATTTAAAATAATTTAATTTTAAAATATTTATAAATAAATAAATAAATAATAAATGGTTAGTGTAGTAGTAGTTGCATAGTTAATTTCTAAAAATAAAACAACGATTCAATATTTTTTTATAGATCATAACTATACTAAGTGAGTTCAAAGGTTTCGATCTAAAACAAAAAATACTTTAAAAAACTTGCAAGAAATCTATTGACTAAATTTGAAGTTAATAGACAAAAATAAAAATTATTACAAATTTGATTTTGATTAATTTTGATTATATAAAGAAAAAAATAATAAAACATGTGAATTCTTTTTCTTTTCTTTTTTCTCCTTCTTAAATATTTTTTTATTTCTATGCTATGTATGGCTAGTCCTTAAATACGAGCCTCACACGCGAGCAACGATCTTTTTTTTTTTTTTCACATTTGACTTTCAACTATTAATTAATTAATTTGAGTTTTTTTTCTAAAAAAAACAGAGAAAAAATTATTTGAAATACACTTTTAATCTAAAAATGTATTTTAGACAAATTATATATACTAATCATGACATTATAATTTAAAAGTTATTTAAATCTATTTTCAAAAGAAAAAATAATCATTTTCTAAAAATTTATCCCAAAATCCACACATATAGAAAAATAAATAAAAAATGTCAATAAATGTAATTTTAAATTGATTGGATGAGAATTTTAAAAAATGACAAATTAAAGTACTAAATTTTAAATAATAAAAATAATTAACAAAAAATATTAAAACAAAATGAAACTAAATCACAATAGAATCAAAGTTTGAAATTAACGAACAAAAAAGGATTTAAAAAAATGATAAATTAACGTGGTAAGCTGTTAAATAATATAACAAATGGAGAAAAAATTATTTGAAATACACTTTTAATCTAAACATATATTTTAGAAAAATTATATATATTAATCATGTCACTATAATTTAAAAATTACCTAAATCTATTTTTTCAAAAGAAAAAATGATCATATTCTAAAAATTTATTCCAAAATCCATACATACGGAAAAATAAATCAACACTCGTTAGTAAATATAATTTTAAATTAATTAGATGAGAATTTAAAAAAAATGATAAATTAAAGCGAGTAAATTTTAAATAATAAAAACAATTAACAAAAAACACTAAAACAAAATAGGACTAAATAACAATATAATCAAAGTTTGAAATTGAAAAAAAAAAGAATTTAAAAAAAATAACAAATTAAATTAGTAAATTTTATATAATAAAAATAATTAAAAAAATCCTAAAACAAAATGGGATCAAATTACAATACAATTAAAGTTTGAAATTGAAAAAAAAAGTATAGAAAATTTGAGGACCAAAATGTTACAAAAATGATATGAATAGTGATTTATGAGTGTGTGAATAATGTTTCAAATAGTGAATAAATAGTGAATAATGATTTTACTTTAAAAAAACACAAACAAAATGAGATTAAATCACAATACAACTAAAGTTTGAAATTGAAAAAAAAAGTATAGAAAAAGCTGAGGATCAAAATGTTACAAAAATGATATGAACGAGTGAAAGGAATAGTGATTTGTGAGGGTGTGAATAATGATTTGTGAGTGTGTGAATAATGTTTCAAATAGTAAACAATGGTTTTACTTTTAAAAAATACTAAAATAAAATCGGATCAAATCATAATATAATTAAAATTTGAAATTAAAAAAAATATAAAAAAAAATTGAGGACCAAAGTGTTACAAAAATGATATAAATAGCGAAAGGAATAATGATTTATAAGTATGTGAATAGTATTTTAAATAGTGAATAATAATGAATAACGGTTTTACTCTAGTTTCATTGATAATTTTAAGTATCATTTACTCCCTCTCTCATGGTTGTACATAACGAGTGGAAGGCTATTTTTTGTTTTGTTATATTACAGTTCAAAATCCTTTGAATAAATGGGAAAAAAAAAAAATGGTGAATGCACCTCCCCAAGTCATGGCTCCATATGCTGCCAGCTCTCATATCGATGCCAGCCCTTTTTCCAATTTGTTTTAAAATCATGCTATTATACCTTACATATTCACAAATTTTCAACATGGCAGTTTGTTATGCAAAAATGCCATTCAAAGTTTGAAATCTTAAAATTTGTTTTGAAAATAAAAATTTCTCTCAATATAAACCCATGTTAATTATGAGTCTCGAGTAAGAGTTTAATACGTATACCTATTAAAGGAAATAATAAAAGAATTATTTGTTGGGAAAATTTATAGGTCTCAAGTATCATATCAGATATTTTTGTAGTGTGTAAATTGGAAGAGAAAGAGAAATCAAAGGAGAAGAACAATAATACATAATTTTCGAGCCAAATTGTTCACTCGACAG